CGAACCGCGGCCAGTGGGGGCCGCGATCGGCCAAACCTGCTGCGTCAGCAGGTAAATAAAACTGGCCCGGCCCATCAGGGTGCTTACCCTGGCGAGCCGCGTGCCGAACGTTGCCAACCCCTGCTATAGAGTCATACAGCAGACAGTTTACCCAGTTGTCAAAGGAGCATAGCTTAAAAATGTGTGCATAATGTAGGCCTACTAAGTCTTCTCCAGTGTGATTAGAATATGAAGTTAAATTCAACCCTTTTCCACTTAGCCCAGTCCTGCAGACCGTTCACATGTAAAACTTAGTCTGGCTTCAGTGGCAGACAGTTCTGCACAAGGAAACAATGCAGGACTGGGTCTCAAGGGATACTCTAAAGGTATTTTAGCCCAATATTTGACCGACTTTTCTTTTATCTGTTTATGAAGCCCAGTTAATTCATTGCAGGTTTTTCTTTCTCAAAATAATGTATTTTCTTAAAATCACTAATAGCAGCCATGGATTTATGATCAACTCTACAATAACATACCCAGGTATATGCCACAATGGAAAACAATTAGATTTTATAGAGCCCATTCTTACTCCTGTTTGAATTCCAGTACAAGTTTTGCCATTGGGTTTCATTGGAAGCAGTCTTAGGTCCTTAACTGCAAGAATGTCCAATGGGTTATGAGAAACAAAAGCAAAAAAAACATTTTAAAACTATGAAAAATAGATTGGCCATATCCTTTTAAATACTCAGGATCCATTTTTACTTTATTCTCTGCTCCATTTAGAGCAGTAGGTCTAACTCAAACACCATTAAAAGTTAATCATATTACCTTAAAGAGGAATTTCTAATAAACTTCCACAGAATGGGTTGCAGAATTAATATGGCATTTAGAAGACACTTTAAGAATAAGGTTCTGATTCAGAACTCATACAGTTCTAAGTCAGGAGGAACTCCACGGAAGTCAGTACAGTAATGTCAGTATAAAATCAGTGTGAGTGAGATCAGAATCAGGCACCTGTAGCATAACTGGTTTATAGGAACATTATGAAAATGAGAGTCTAACCAAAATATCCTATAGTTTAATGCTAAGCAGAAAACTGTTCAAAAGTCATTCTGACTAGAGCTGATAGGGACTCTTTTTGACAAAACATAGCCTCTAAAACACGAATACTCGGGGGAGGAGAAAAACCCACCCCAGAACAGTCAGTAGCCCAGTGGTTAAGGCATTAATCTGGGAGATGCAGGTTCAAGTCTGAATTCCAAATCAGGCAGAGCAGGGACCTGAACTGGACTA